TCATTCCAGGGAACATGTGGTATCGTGTAAATCCTTACTGGCTTAGCGTATCGAGGGTCAACCCTACCGCGCTCTGCGTCACTAAAAGCTATGGCCTTATCACATGTCTTCAGGATTTCTATCACACGTTCTCGCTCCTGTGTGGTCAAATTCCCATCTCCGATGTCCATCCCTGCTATCCTCTCTTCCGTTAGGCGTTGCGGCCCCTTTCTCTTTCTTTCTTTGATTTCTTTCGCGATCTCTTCTTCCGATATCCCTTCCAGTGCAGATCGCTCGCGGCCCACCGCCCCTGGCTTAACTTTTTGAGCTACTCACTTGTGTCGCTTGGGTAGCCCCCAATAGGGGGCCGTGCCTTTAAAAAAGACACGGATACCACACCGCCAAATTCCTCATCTTTTTCATTTGGGTACGAGTTGTCATCCACTATTAGCCGACTCCCTAAATCTTCCACCTCCACGATCCGACCTTCTTCCTCTGTGAGCAGTGGTCCATATTTCTTCTCGCGATATTGCACCGCGCGGCCAGAGATAGGTAACGACTTAATCTGATCACTGGGTCTCGCACCGACAGCGAGAGCTGATTTGTTCCTCGGGTCCCGCGGGTCCCGAGGCTCCACTGTCTCAATCATTACCCGCGTCCCGTCTGGCTTCCTAATGGACAATGTTTGGCTCCCATCAGGTCGCTCTATCGTCACCGCATGCACGTGGCTTAGCCACGTTCGACCCAAGAGCAGGTCGGAGCTGCAGTTCTTGACTGCAAAGACAGGCAGGGTCACTCGTACCCCTTGGACCTCTATGGCTGCCTTGTGACAAACCCCAATGATCTGTTGCTTTCTCCCATCAGCCGTCTCTATCTCGAATAGGTATGACCTATCGAGGCCTAGTCCAACCTGTACTGCCAGGTCCTCGTCTGTGATGACAGCCTCACTGCCATTATCGATCACAGCATCGAGTACCGCTCCATCGTTTATAATCGTCTCCACGGCCCCGCTACCAAGTATATAAAACTTGTCTGGAGTCACACCTTCCATTCCATCGAGAATGACTGTCGCCATGCGATCCGCTCTGGCAATCACCCCCGTTACTGCTAGTGTAGAAGCTTCCGCCTTAGGGGCCCCCTGACCCTCCTCCGATAGAGGTATGTGAGTCTTCCGCGTGATCATCTGTAACTCATCACGAGCCGGCTTCGATGCCGCCAGGTACTCCAGAATAGAGCACTGCATGGGTTGCCGAAGGGCCCGCCTCAGTGGMTCGACCATGTCAATCTCGTCCAGCGAACTCTTCATTAAGAACTTCTTCACTCCCCTCTTTTACGGCGAAAGGATAACCTCCTCTCCATCGACCCGCTGCCCGTCCTTCTCCGTCATCACGTAATCCGTGTCAGTCTTCTTCGGTGTAGACCTTCTCGCCGACTTGGTGGCTGCCACCCTTATGGGTGTGGTAGCCATATCCCCCGCAAAGGTTATCTTGATGCTCTGGCTCCTGACCGGCTCCTTTTCTTTACTCGGCTTTACTCTCCTTGCTTCGACATTCTCCTTCATCGAAGGAAACATCGATACATCTCCCAGACCATCTGCCCACTTGACGTACTTGCGGTCATCAAGCACGACAAGTCCCTCATCTATCGCCCATTTGAGGTCCGGGCAGTCCCTCTTGATATGATCTTCTCCTCTACAGTAGACGCATGAGTTCCTGGGAGTAGATGGTCTGTCGTCTGCGCTTCTAGAGATCAAACTCCTGGCTGCCTTGGGGTCAGGCGACTTGGGATATGGTTCTGATGAGACGCCATATCCCCCTCTCTCATTCCGACCGCGCGAATCGTTGCGGCGGTCTCCTCCACATCCTCCTCGCTCATACCGCCCTCGCGAATCATTCCGGCGGTCCCCCGAGTCATATCGCCCTCGTGACTCATCGCGTCGGTCCCCTCGGTTGTACCATCCCCGCGACTCGTTGCGTTGCTCTCTCGCATCTCCCCCGCGCTCAAACCGTCCGCGTGACCCATCTCGTCATTCCTAGTTCCGATCTCCTCTTTCATACCTACCACCTCTGTAGCCATCTCGACCCAACCTCTCGTATCCGTCGTCCCTATATCTGTCTCGGTCCGATCTCTCGTATTTGTCGTCCCTATATCCATCTCGGTCCGATCTCTCGTATCTGTCGTCCCTATATCCATCTCGTCGGCCCTGATCTGTCTCCCATCGGCCGCGGGAGTCGCCTCTACCCCGATTGGCCTCATAGTTAGGGCTTCACGGGTAATCATCCAGTCTCCTTGCTCGCGCAAACGGCTCGCGATCTCTGCGGTCTCGGTCTATCTCATCATCCCTACATCGCCATGGCTCATCGTCTCTCTCTCTTCCCCTCGTACGATAATCAGTCAGCGTCCGAGGATTTTTATCCTCGACACTCCTCCAGGAATAGTTGTTCCTACGGTCCTAGCGAAGTGAATAGGGCCCTTCAGGTTTGTCCTGGTAGGCTGTGGCCCCTGTAGTGGTCACAATCTCTGTAACCTGTCTCGTCAATCCCTTCACCATGTCCCGCATCTCCTTCACTTCCTCAGCCACGGCCTCATTCTTCTCTGACCAGGGATAGTCCTTGAAATCAGGACATTTATCAGTGGCATACTCCTTGTAGAGAGAGAAGTCACGTCTCCTCATCCCTCTCCACACCAAGTCCTTGTAATCGTTTGCCTCTGCCTTTATCGCGAGCTTTAGGACTTCTGGGAAATCAAGCCTGTCGCGCGGAAGATCTCTAAGTATACTCTTTTGCCTACCTTTGGACAAGTGTCCGATGAAGATAGTACAGCGCTCGACCTCTGAGATTTTTCCCTTCTTCATCARCACRTCGGAGATCTTYTGGAAACGCATCCCAAATGCCCGTACGCTCTCATCTTCATCTTGAGTCATTGTTTCAAGGTCCTTGATGGAATACTTGTTATCCTCCAATTTGTAAAGCTCAACGAGGTTCTTCTTGTACGTAGTCCATTTCCCATCCTTCGGTCGAGCTTCCTTAACTTCCCTACCGAGACTTGGGTCCACATTAAATAGGAAGTTCTCTATAATCTCTTCCTCTGACCACTGACTCCGGCTGGCATGAAGCTCCCACTTCTCCAGATATTTTGTGATACCATAGTCCCTGAAGGTAGGAGGCTTTGAGGCCTTGTGCGTAATAATATAGCAATCCTTGCTCTCGTAAGGGAGCGGATGTGACTCCCCTGTCTGGGGGTCGAAGACTCGCCTGGGCGGCGCCCTGTCTCTATCTCTGTCCCTTCAATAGGAATCCCTCAAACTCTCTCTCCATTCGTCTCTGTGCCTGTCCTCTATGGTGTCTCTCCGCTCGTACTCGGGGGAGCGTCGCCTCGTAGCTTCTCGTCGTTCGCTCGAGGTACCCGTCTTTAGAGCCTCCTGCAGCTCTGTCGCAACTGGTTCGCCCCTTACGTCGGGCCCTCCGTCATTGGTTTGGTCAGCCCATCTCAGCGGTGCTTCTCACCTAATTCGTTCCTTCAGATCCCTCAAAGCTCGATCGGGCGATGTCCTGTACTCCTCTCCCGCTTCGCCCGTGGTCGGTTGTGGCCCCATCGTGTCGGGTTCCATTGGACCGCCAGAAGATGCAGTTAGGTATTCTAGCCAACTGTTACAGCCCGACTCTTGGACAGTCGCTGCAGCCCGGACCTGTGACAGTTGCGGGAGCCCGGACCTGTTTCCTTGTCACTGCTTGCGTCCGCCTCCAATCTTAGCTYTCGACTGCCTTGATTACCACTCCCAGTATCCCATACCGGTCGAAGATCTCGTGCTCTTCGTCTATCCCAAGAATCCCTGTGTGTAAGTAAACCTCTCCTTCGGGATCGACCAACAAGGTCGTGCCTCTCCGGATCTGCAGTACACCCGTGACAGGACCTCTATCCTTGAGACAAATCGCAGTCCCAAACCTAACCAATGTCTCCTGATCAACACCCCTCAAGAATTTCGAGCGTCTATCTCCGTCCTCCTTGCTAGTTCTCCTAGCCCTGTCCTGAATCGGTTAGCCCGCTAAAGGCCCTCCTATTGCCATCCAAAGTCGTCCATCGACCTTTCTAGCGTCCACTATCCTTCCAAGAGCTTCCAATTTCTATTTTCACTCCCTTATCTCCCAGACGGCTACGAGGTCATCTGTCTAGCAGGTGAGTTAAGTTAGTGCTATAACCACTTGTAACCTCATCGCCGACCGCTCCAATATGTCATAAAATGTCTCAAAGTCTTCCTTATCTCCACCATCCTCTATCGCCTCTAAAGTCTTTATCGATTCCTTCCAGTACCGGTCGTGAGCGGCTAACACCCTGAGTATTGCACCATTTGTTACAACTCTCCCTAACTCTCCAGCTTTCCTGGCTTCGCTTATCTTCAACCTCTCAACCTCTCTGGTCGTCTCGTACCATGCCCTTATCCGAGACCGCCCTTCGAAAGGTGTCACTTGGAGTACGTATTTTATCCTCCGTCCTCCTTCTATTACAATCCAAAGTCCTGTTCCCCTAGCCTCACGCAGCGCGCGGCGGACACACTCTGCCTCCTCAACTATGCACAGTCTGGTATGGAGCTGGAGTTCTATGATCACTAACACTAATGGTCTGTTCAGTCTCCCTACCACATGTAATGAGTACCGCTCCGTCGTGTGTAAAGCAGTCTCGCTCATGTCCTGTCGCTACTTCCCTGCGTTACTTTATCTTCAGTTGTCTCGCTCTCTGCAGATCGCTCACTAGTTTCTTCACGTGATACGCTTCTAGCCTTTACCCTCTCCAGAAAGTCTGATCTCCACGCCTAGATAATCTCTCTTTCCTCCCTAAACAGATTCTCTAACTCTCTCATCACGAGTTCAGCCCTACGCAACTTGCCCTCGTCCTGACACGACCAGATCTCCCTTAACTTGTTCCCCAACTTCTTTACCTGGTTCAAGAGTGGTTCTTTAACGCGCTTTCTCACTCTTCCGACTGCCTCACTCTCCTCTTCTATACTCAGTCCACATTTTTTTCCAGCTCATCCTTTCACCCTTGCTTTAGCCTCCGCTACCGTCTCATCGTGGTAGTGCTCCGCGAGCATATAACCATGAGACCATATCATCACATCATAGGAAATCGAGGTCTGGAAGGTCACTCGCACCAGTACATCAACTCTACGCTCGTGGATCAAATCCCGTCCTCGTTGTCTGCACTCACTCGCTGTCAAGTCCTCGTCTACGTACGCTCGGAGAAGTACTGTCACAGTGTATCATGCGCTTACCAGTTGCTCTCCTACACGCATCACCGTGGCCGTCCTTCCCAGCATTCCCTAAGCTGCGGCCTCGAAGAGAAATCTCACATCCTCTAGCACCGCGTAATCGATCTCTGCCCGTCTCCTGCAGTACCTAATCAGATCGATTGGCCTCAGACAGTCCACCCAGCTAGTAACGTCTATGATGTCGTCAAGCGTCTCTCTACTGGGCGGCCCCCACCTCACACAAATGGCGTAGTATACTTCCTTGAAGCGGGTCGCTAAGCCCTCCCAGAGCGCATAAAGTGTGTGGTCCACTGCTCTACTCAAACGATCCACGCTCCCATAGGTCTGCCCTATCACGAAGGTAGGAAGTCCGAATCGCCAATCCTCTCTCGGGTAGAGGGTCGGATGTGGTGGACCGTATGCCAAGCAACTCCAACTCGTCCTCCCTCCAGAGAGTCTCGCCAGTTGCTGATTAACGATCACTTTGGCCAACGACTCGCTTCTCCACCAACTCCTGCTCGCCCCTACGAGCGTCAGTCCTATCTCTAAATCGTGTGCTCTATCCGCTATCAGATGTACGACCCCTTCTAGATCTTGAGTCCTCTCGGGTCGTTCGTCTCGTAGTATCACTGTCCAAAGGAAGAGCCTCTCTGCGAGCCACGTTCCCAAGTATCGTATCGGTACACGCCCTGCCTCTTCTAACGCCACAGGAAGTGGTATGTCGTATCCAACCGCCGTCTCTCTGGGTCCCACAAGCTTCCTCACACTATACGATTCGGACTCTCGTGAGAGAACATAAGCTAACCAGGCCACTGAATCACTCCTCATCT